GCATGTAAATTCAAACTGAGATAACTTGAAAAATCAAGTTGAATTTTTGTCTTTGTATGAATAATTTTTTACTAGGTTAAAAGGCATAAATAAGCTCGGAAATGTTTGTTATGATTAATTAGCAAGTTATTTTCAGTGCAACTCCTTTTGTATTCTTCAAAATTGTTTTAGAGTGGAAATGCTCTGATTTGCTAAATTGCAACTATATGGGTCATACTCCAACTATGGTGAGGGCTTTTACGAAGACAAGTTAGATTATTCTAACTAGTTCTACCCAAGTGGTTATGACCCAATTACATGTTTGATCTGAGTGGTTTTGTTCCAAGTAAAAATGATAAACATGAAAGGGATGATTTAAAATTTATTGACTGCAAATCACATATTCTTAATCATTAAGATAGTGTTAATTATACGAATGATATTTATATTTCATATGCTGTTTGAATTAAGAACATGAAGAACAATATTGTTTATTATTTAATTCATAACTGTAATTTTGAAGCAATTACTGTCCATGTACATAATTTGGCATGTTCAAAATTTAGCGCTATCACTAGGTATTGAGTTATTGATGTATTCATGGAATAGTGCTACACGCTAACACATCGTATTTTTTATTAATAAATGATTTCTTAGTGGTATTCATAAATTAGCACATCGTTGTCATTGCCAAAGCAGCTAAAATTTGAAGCCCGCTTTTTAAGTACCAGTACACATACAGTATGTGTTCACCAGTGAACTGGTGAAGAATGTATCTGACCTTAAATCTAATACGCGACTTCCGAGATACGTTTCCGACCCGATTTTTACATCACGCAAAAGTGAAATGTAGGGCATGTTTACTTCCGTTTTCATCGTAAACGATGGCGTCATTAGATACAGACTGCGATTACGACTATAATTTCAATTCTTGGCAAGTGCCTATGCTGAAAGACCTTTTATCCCTTAAAGGTATAGCTTTTTCAATATATTTAAAACATCATTTGATAAGACTTTGTGAACTGGGAGTTGAAATTCAGAAGTGGCAGATGATTACAGGGTGGTGATGTCAAACTGTTGGAGATAAAGTTTTCCGAAATATAACAAGTGTTTATAGGTGGTCTGAAGATCTCATAAAACTGCCGAACATTGAGATTTCCGACGTTTTCATAAAACTTTTGAACGATGGCTGGAGTACGTCATTCTCGGTTGAAAACAGACAGAGACAAGACAATGGATACAGACTAAAACAACCATGTTGATAAAGTGAAAGTGTCCCCCGTCTGATGATTTTCAGTACATCAAGTGTGACACAGTTCCTGAGACTAGCCAAATGCAGATCCGTACAAGACCCGGATATTTGTTGAGGACAATGGACAGATTCACTCAGGTGGATGTAGTGTAAATATTCAGGTTTTCACATTATGACTACAGATTCTCCAGTAGGATTTAAAGCAATAATTATCAAAAATGTTATTTCATAAAGATATACTAATGCTTTTTGTTCATAAAAAAAAACATACACAGAGGGAGCCCTGTCTCAGTCTACAAGCATTTATGATTATGTAAATTGCTCAATACACTATTCATGTCATGGAATTTCATATTCAATACTTCGATCATCACTTTGAACAAAAGTTCTCTTGATTTTAGAGATGATGGGTCGTGTAAGCACTGTACGGCTTTGATATTTGCTGTGGCTTCATTCTGTGAGAGGCACAAAGACTATCACACTCAAGTCGGAACAGATATTCCATGTGTTTGGGACAATTTTTTAAGCCTCATGTCATCTCATCCTGTATTGGCCAATTACATAAATCTACAGGACTATACAGGAGAAGAACCTGAAGTTAGCACTCACCATTCAATAAACAACCCATGCAAGTCCTTGAACAACCTCTATGAAAGAAATTGAAGAAAAAAAATTGTTTCAGCTCCTGTGTTTTTACACAAAATGTGGATTTTTCTGTGAGCAAATACATTAAGATCCTTTGATATTTGAGGAAATTGTACAAAAATGTGAATATTTCTTCAACAAACATTTGAAAGTTGCAATTATGTCTCTCTAAGTATAGCAGAGTAACAAATTTGTGAATGAGATAAACATGTAATGCATACTAATTTATGGCATTCTTGATTATAACAGTGAGGAAAAACTTAAAACACTTTTGGTCTAAGGTACAGGCTTCATTAATATTCATAATTTATTGATGGCAGAATACCTGAACTGATAAATATAAATTAGGAACAAACAATAAAATATTTCAATCATCATGATCATATGATTAAATTCTTTCAAAAATAAATACAATATGTACATTACAGTTTGTATCAGACCTGGGGTAATGGTAATGCATTGTAATCATTACATTTTTTCAAAGTAATTGGATGTAATGTGTAATGGACTCATCTTTCAATTACAAGAAATTGTAATGTTATGCATTAATTTAAATAAAAAAATGTCAGTAGTGACCATTACCTTTAAGTTACATTTTGGTTTTAAATCTCTCTTCATTATTGAATCTGAAACAAGTAAAGGTCACTGAGAGGTTATTTTTTTTTATTTATAATGTTAAAGTCTTAAAATTAAAATCCTATATCTTACTTTTTAAAAAAAAAAAATGTTTATTCAGTGGTGATTGACAGACATACTAAATAATTGTTTTGATGGAAAACTTCTTGACAAGACAGTTATAAAATCAATTGAAGAAAGCCAGATTTTTTTTGAAAAAAAAAAGAAATCATTAGGTTTCAAAGAAGCCACAAAACAAGTGACATTAATACATTTATTTAAAAAAAAGGGAGGAACTAACATCAGAGACTCAACAAAACTACAACATTAAAAGTGTTCCGATCCACTTTCTTTGTCAACTGTAGATCATGGTAGATTGGTAAACTACATGAACATGATAAATGAATACAAAATCCAAATACCACTCTGACTTACAGACCTGAGGGAAAGCATAACAACCAAAGTATAGATATAAATTGTGTGGTCATAAAATTTGTGTTTTTCTCTTATAAAATGTAATGTGTAATGTAATTCAAAAAATTTTGAAGTAATTGTAATTTAATGCATTACTTTTAAAGTAATTGAGCCCAGGTCTGGTATATATTAAGATGCCTTTATGGAATGAACATTCATATACATAAAAAAGATCTTTTTCTTTTGATTTAATTTACATGTAAGCACTTGTTTCAGATGTCATATTATGTGCATAGCTACTATTCATGATCATAGAGCATTCATGAACAAATCTTTGGATAGTACAATTACATCATCATATGTAGATCATTATTCGTTTGTCAAGTGGTGATACAAGAGGGAGTGATTCCAACAAGGCACTTTAATGTGTTATGGCTCTTATAGTTATTGTATGTTTGATGCTGTGCCGTAGGGGTACGTGGCCGCTGAACAAACATCTCTGTTCAGTCAATTACTCTGAACTCTTGTCCTAGGAAAAGCTTTCTTGAACGAGTGTGGCATGAATTTCCTTACTTGTGCTCTTGAAGGCCATTTAATTTGAGGTCCAAATACCTATATAAAATACATTTACATAGTAATACTTTTCAAAGTCAAAATACTATTATTCTGTGTGAATTATATTAAATTATTTGTGAATCTAAATAAATAAACATATATATAATATATTTACCCATTACCAGTAATTAATTTATTTAAGGAAATAAACCATTTGTAATATAATAAAAAATTAAGATATTTTCATAAAATATTAACAATATTTAGATTTTTATTTGAAACTTAGACAAATTAGTGAACTTGCAGTTTGAATCTTATATTTCTTAGTAACACACCCTATATATGAGATTAATCCATGAGCTAAATATTTGGTATACCTGCCTCTCGGCTACCCCAAAAAAAGTTAGCAAGTATAAAGAGGTGTTGAAACCAAGTCAAATTCTGAGGAGTGTCATCAACTCAAGAATTCTTCGAATCTAGTCAGCTTCCTGGATGGCCCTGTTTTTTTTTTACATTAACCCTCTTCACACTTCTTCTCTGTTGATGTAGAGGCATATATGTATATTCATAGCGGTTGTATTCGCATATGCATGCATATGCTGACGTTTTTCTATGGAGGTGGTTTCTATTTTGGAATCTTGAAATTGTAGCGACTAAATAGGGTGGGGATAGGATTGTTTTCAGTGGGACAGCCATCTGCAAAATGTAGGGAACAAACGGAGTGGTATCGTTCAGGGGAAAACTCCTCATCTCGAAAGACTTGCTGAGGCCACTGCCTTCGTAATTTGAGTTTCCGCTTAAAATTGGATGCCTTGCATCCAAGGATAAGTGCCTCAACTGGCTTCCCGTCTGCTGAACACCCTGGCAAAGAACACCAGTAGTGGCTGGTAGTATCTGTGTTCTTCCTTTTTTTAAGACGTCGAATAATTTCGTCTGCTTAATATTTCGTTGCGATGTAAACATTCGCCATTACAATGCCCTACATTTCCTTATTATCACGTGACTGCTGTGTGTAAAAGTCAGCTGTAAACCACGATTCCGGCGTATCTCGAAAGTTCCGTATTAAATTTAATTTTTTTGTTTGTGGGGTCTTTCCAAAACATTCCTACAAGCTTTGTTTTATTAAAAGATTGGTCTAGAATATTGCAATTCACATTTATCAAAATTCATTCTTTAAGCAAAATACCGTAGGAAGAGAGCAGAACATTTTTATTACACTTCTTCATTAAATTAGTCATGCTATCTGTATGAGAGAAACAGCCTAATTGACACGTATATCTATGAAGCCATTTGCTCTTGCTATTGATAGCTACAGTATATACCTGTGTGTTTCCTACACACCTGATTGTTTGTATACGCGAGACAAAACCACTTGGGTCGAAAACACGCTGTTCGAACACGTATTCGGAACGTAACCACCCGAATTTGAATTTCTTCCAGTTTACGATATATCGAATATTGAATCCAAAATTAATTTTCTTGGTTTAAAGCTATAAATTATGTAAAAAATAAAATAAATATAAAAGAAAAAATCACAAACCTTCTCCAATCTTCTCTAGTTTTTCATATTTTTGCATTATTTTAATAATTTCCTCAGAACCGACCTTTCCCTCAGTGTTTTAATGCTTCTTATGAATAAGATGCATTTTTTTGCCAACTGAAACGTTTAAGTGATGAAGAATATGAGAGCAGATATCTTGTTCGTGAATTATTCGATTTAAAGTCAATTCGTACACAAAAACCGAAAAGTCCTCTAGTACACATTTTTATATTTTATGCCAAATCTTCTTCTCAAGAACAATTAGGCCAAAAAGATGAATTAAACTTATGTGTAACCCTTCAATACATAGTGTAGAATCAAGTTTGTTCAAATCATGACACCATGCACCTGGGGAAAGATCATTTTAGCCCCCACAGTGCTTCAACTCGACATTCAGATATATCGACGACGTTTTATCAAATAACAATATTTATTTCCATTTTTATGTGGACTCGATATATACCAGTGAACTTGAAATAAAAGACACCATAGAGTGTGTCGATCACATATCTGATTCATATTTGGATGTTTTACTGACTACAGAGGACAAAGGTCAACTAACAAATAAATTGGAAGATGACTTCAGCTTTTCCATAGTCAACTTTCCTTATTTATGTAGTAATATTCCACTATCACCTGTATATGGTGTTTATGTATCCCAACTTATTCGCTACTGAAGAGCATGCTCTGAGTACAACCAATTTTTAAACCGAGGCAGGCTACTCACACATAAGTTGTTGTTACAGGAATTTCAACAACCTTGTTTAAAGTCAGCATTCCATAAATTCTATGGTTGTTATAATGACCTTATGTAGCATATCACTGGGTCGTATTTTGGCTGACTTGTTGCCTACCAAAAGTTAGTGTAGCGCCGTCGAGCGGTAAATGGCTCTAACTACATAATCTGAGTTTGAGATGACTCCAAGTTTTAATAATCATCCTTGTGAAAAAAAATGCCCCCTCTCTAAAGCATACGCTTGAGGTTAAATATGAAAGGCAAAACAAAAATGTTTACAGTTTATTTACATCCCAATTAAAAAAAAAATCACAAATAAAAATTAAAACAACGTACACTGACCGAACTGCACTTTTACTACATATATATCCCGTAATAGAAATAAACTAAATGAGCGCCCCAAAGTTTTCACTCTGCCTATATATATATACATAATATGCATTGCTCATGAGGAGCAATCTTTCTAAATGGGGTCAGTTATATATAACAACATTGCTCGCGCGGAGCAATTTAATGATAGATAAACAAACATTGCATAACAATAAAAAAACAGAACAATTTAAGATACCGTACGTTACACTAGACCTTTGTTTTGTTCCATTTGCATGTGTACCTTATCAATACATAGGGCTCACAGCGGGTGTGACCGGTTAACAGGGAGTGTTTACTCCTCCTAGGCACCTGCATGGTCACACCTCTGGAATTTCCAGGGGTCTGTGTTTATGCCCTGTCCAAAAATTTGTATTGTTTGAAGTTTTCATGAGATCGATCACTGTTCGTTATCTTCACTCTTTTTCATTTCGAGTGTACATTTGCCGTCACGGTAGCTCAGTCGGTATCGAGCGATCGCTCCGTGATCGGAAGGTTTGAATCACGGCCGCGACTGACCGAAGTCGATAAAAGAGATAGCAACGGTTCCTTCGCCAAGCGCTCGGCACTTTGAAGTAAAAGTTGCGACTCCTTCGGATAAGACCTTAAAAACCGAGGTCCCGTGTCACGGTAGGCATTGGCACGACAAAGAACCCTCACTGCTCAATGGCCCTGAGTGCCGAGTAAAAGTCTATTAAAACAATACAAATTGGGAACAGAGCAAACACGGACCACAGGCATGCACCTGACGTTACTTATTTTTCTTCTAATAAAAAAATTTACCCCCTTCCTAAGAATTATTAGGTAGGGGTTTTTTTTTTTATTGAAAGAAAATAAGTAACGTCAGGTGCCTGTGACGCGGATCTCCAAAAACAAAGGTGGGATCAGCCAATCTATCTATCTGAAGATGCTTCCATATTCATATGATAAATCTTTCTTTATAGACCCCACCTTTAGGAGCACATTCTATTGCAGAGCTCTTGCTTAATGGTCAGTCAGTTTTCTAGTTATTGACAATACTTATGAAAAATAATATGTAAGGCAGTAGCATCCACGACGAAAAATTATCAGAATGGGATCGGGATAAAACTTTTCGTGCACTACAGCAAACTTTCGCTGACTGCGTGATTACACCCCCATTGTGATCATCAATGGAAAAAAATTTCCAAAAGTATAGGTCTCCAGTTAAGACCTCTGTGGGTTATTATTACTTGTTTTCTTTTGAGAGATGATTTAGAATTGCAAATTGAGCAGAAAACATGCAGATGTATGGTGATATTGCAGGATTTTCTCTGTCGTACTCACATGAACTATTGATACTCAAAAAAAAATGTCCCACTTTTCTTTAGCATTGCACTGCCTAATGTAAATAGTCTACACTGGTGGATTGCAAATTCTGAGGTGTATATCAAAGAAGGGTCATTAACTATAAGTTTCTGAAATATCATCTTCTCTCCTTAGCCACGTTCAAGTTTTATTACAACGATTAACGTATTTCTTATTACATGTGAGCAATGTAATGTAATGCATGACAGGCTCAAAATCGGAGGAACTGCTTATGTTTCACATTTTTTGTTCATAGCCTTCAAAACTATTTCCTCAAAAGGACAAGAAATTTCAGGTCAAAATCAGTCTTATTACAACCAGCCCCCCTTCTCCTTTCACTCGTCGTCAAAATACGATTCGCAACTGAAATCAAGATTTGATACGACAGTCCCTTGTGACGCCTTGCAAAAAACTTATTTACATAAATTATTCCGATGCTGTAGCTAGTGAATGCGTGATTTAACACCTTTGCTTATATGTTAGATTGATTGATTGCATGCATTTTTACGCCCCGTTCGAGAATTTTTCACTAATATAGATACGTCACCATATACCGGCGAAGGGCATCAAGTCTAGACCTTTACTCGGCACTCACGGCCATTGAGCAGTGAGAATTCTTTAGCGTGCCAACGCCTACCGTTGGGCTTCGGTTTTTAAGGTCTCATCCGAAGGACCCGCAACTTGCCAAAAGTGCCCAACGGTGGCAAAGGATCAGTTGCTACCTATCTCTTTTATCGACTTAGGTCAGTTGCAGCCGTGATTCGAACACACGACCTTCTAATCATGGAGAGAGCGCTCTACCGACTGAGCTACCGTGACGACTGCTTATATTAGAAACTACATTGTATACTCTCTGTATTTACTATGAAAATTCTTGTCTTTTATTTTGTTTGGTATGAAGACAAACTGGTGTTAGGGCGGGGCTCTAATGATTATAAAGTGAAAATGCATCAATTCTTTGAAAATCTACTCTTCTGCTCCTGGTTATTAAGCCGATGAACTAAGTACATGGTTATAAAGAGGAGGGGGGCTCTTCTAAAATTGTGAATTTCATGGCCCTTGGGTCAGGGGTTCTAGTGTTATATGTTGGGCGGGGCTCTAATGATTATATAGTGAAAATGCATTAATTCTTTGAAAATCTTCTTCTCCCCCCTGTATATAAAGAAGATAAGCTAGCTGCATGGTTATGATGATCAAGGATGTCTCTTCAAAATTGTGAATTTCATGGCCCCTGGGTTAGGAGTTCTGGTGTTAGGGCGGGCTCTATTGATTATATAGTGAAAATGCATAAATTCTTTATGAATCTTCTTCTCTTCCCCTGTATATAAAGAAGATAAATTAGGTGCATGGTTATAATGATTAAGGGTGCCTCATCCAAAATTGTGAAATTTCTAGCCCCAGGGTGAGGAGTTCTGTGGGAGGGGGGACTCTATTGATTCTACAGAGAAAGCGCATCATTTCTTTAAAAAATCCTCTTCTCTGCTCCTGGGCATTAAGCCGCTGTACTAAATACATAGATATGATGAAGAAAGGTGCCTCTTCCAAAATTGTGAATTTCATGGTCCCTGAGTCAGAGGTTCTGGTGTTAGGGAGGGGCTCTATTGATCATCTAGTGAAAATGCATAAATTCTTTAAAACTCTTCTTCTCTCCCCTGTATATAAAGAAGATAAACTAGGTGCAGGGTTATGATGATCAAGGATGCCTCTTTCAAAATTGTGAAATTTGTGACCCCGAGGGTGACAGGTTCATTGGAAGGTGGGCTCTATTAATTATATTGTGAAAGTGCATCAAATTGTTTTTATAACTTTCTGAACTTTTTGTACTGTTATTATACAGACTCCACTCCATGACTCCATAAGACTCCACTCCACCCCACTTCACTCAGCTTTTTACCCCAAGCCAGTATACATTCACACAATCAAAATACGTCCAGATCAGACGCAAAAAAGCTCATGGGAATACAGGCTAGGATATCACACATGACTTGATGACTTGATGATAAACTGAAAATATAAACAATAGAATAAACTATGAATTTTAGTCGACGAGTCACATGTACCTGTATTTGCATTGTTCTTTTCGCAAAAGCGATGTACGACTTTATTCCGGTTAAGCCAATTTTCCTAAACTCATTATATATGTACTTTAATTCGTTTAGGTGGTCGTTAACTCTCATCCTTTTCCGCTTTATTTCTGATTTCTACTTGCTTTTGTTGATTTAATATCATAGTAGCTAATTAAAATGTTTCATATTATTTCTACAGTAAGTAAGTAAGCATTTGTAAAATATAGGTTATTTTGATCCTAAAAGTGCTAAGCTAATGTTCCAAATGGTTAATTATGCATCACATTATTAAATAACATTCAATAGATTCACAGAACATTTGTGCCACAAAGTCAACTAGCACAAGGCTAGGATTATTAAAAAAAAAGAAATCTATAGAAAATGCCAAATAACACATTACATATGTTACAGAAAGCATGATTTTAATAGCATACACGGAGAGAGGTCACAATAGTACACTATGAGGCCATCTTTAAAGAGTTCCCGACAGACTGGCTAAAAATGGCCCGACTCCAAACCTATGGATAAAATGTGTATATATATTCTTAATTCTTGTGGATTGTCTTA